CCCGGTTTAGGTGAGGGATGGAGACAAAGCCTCCATCTGTCTGGCACACATGGCTTCTCAGCCTTTCGGCCACGATCAAGTATAGCATCTGTCTGGCCCACAGCAGGGATAATATTTATGCGTATTGTCTTTATAGCATGTCAGGCCAGAGCCTCCACAAAAGGTTGTAATTGGTGACGGGAACATCCTCTCTGCAGACTCAGCCCCTCTGGCCCCAGGCCACCCTCTGGGACCCTCACTCACGCTTCCTGTGGGTTGCTGGGCTCGGAGAGGTAGGGCTGCCAGAGGCCGGCAGCCACATCAGTGTTGGTGAGCGGGGTGAAGCGTTCTGCGTAGACCTTCACGTCCAGCGACTGCAGGACCGAGTGGTAGCGCTCGTGGATGCAGAAGGCGGTGGACAGCCCGATGACGCCCGCTCCGATCACTACCACGCGCATCGTGCCGGCCTGCGGGGGGATGTCAGGGTTGAGGCATGCCACCACCACCATCGCTACCATCCACTGATGGCTTAGAAGATTCCAGACACCGCCCAGCCCTTTTTATACTTGATTCCCTCAGTGGCCCTTACACACGGGAAAATTGAGGCACAGAGAGGCAAAGCAACTTGCCTAAGTTCACACAGCCAGTAAGTGATGCAGCTTTCTCTGGGGACTCTCCTCGAATACCCTGTCCCCAGGCTGGGAAAAAAAAAAAAGGGCCCAGCAGAGTGCCTGGCCAGCTGTAGTCTGGTTAGTCTAATGGTTAGGACAATGGGCTTCAAATCTCAGATCTCGGCTCTGCTCCCTGCTGGCCATGACTTTGGCTAAGATGCTTCTCAAGCCTCAAATTCTTTTTCTGGAAAATGAGAAAAATAACTCATGCCCCGGAGAGTAGATGGGAGTTTTCCACAAGATGGCAAATGTAAAAAGCTTAACACAGTGTCTAGTGCAGATGAAGTGATTTCCCGACATGTGCGGAACACCTACTGTGTGCCAGCCCCTGCACTAAGCGCTTCCCAAGCGTCATTTCATCTAAGTCTCCCACATTCTTAGAAAGTAGGGGCTGGTGTCATTGGCCCCATTCTACAGATGAGGAAACGAAGGCTCAAAGAGGTGGAGTAACTTACCTGAAGTCACACAGCCAGTAAATGGTGCTGCCAGGATTTAATTTTAATTCAAGTAAACTTGATACACACTGCACACCTAGTGTGTGCTAAGCTGGCAGCTGGTGGATGCAGCTGTGAGCAAGTCAGATGCAATGTCTGGCCTCAGAGCTCAGATCTTCAGCACATCCCCCTCCAGGCCTGCCTTGGGGTGCTTGGCTGGCTGGGTCCTCAGAAGTTTAGAAGACCTACCAGCTTTTGACCCTGAAGCTGCTTGGGCCTGCACAGCAGGGAAATACTGTGCAGCCTCCTGCTAAGGCAGAACAAGGGGACTTTTTGTGCCCGGAAGGGCCAAATTCAACTTTCCCTCCTCTCTGCCCACAGCTCTCCTTCCACAGACCTCGCCTCCTGGCAACTGCGGCCCACGGCCCTGGACGGCAGGACATTCTCAATATGTCCTAGTTTTGTAAAGGGGAAAATGGCTCCAGCCCACAAGAACTGGACTCTGTTGGGGTTTCAGCAGCCAAGTTGGAGATAAAACCAAAAAACGGAAAAGCCTCGTTCCTCTGGGTGATTCTGCTTCCAGACTCGAGCCTGGGCTTAGTTGCAGGGGGACCCTCTCAGAGACCCCTCGCCTCCTCCCCCGTCCTTTGCCTCAGGAGATGCAATCTCCTCAGCTGTGAAATAGGGTTAACCCCATCTCATGGGGTCAGCCTGAAGATTAAATGACTAGCCTGGTCAAAGTTCCTGGTACAGGGCCTGGCCTCAATCTGTGGCGGCCTCCTTCTGTCCGCTAGCACCTTGAAAATAACAATGGGAAAAACACTGGCTGTGGAGGAGGGGAGAGGGAGGAGGGAGAGTCAGACCTGGCTTCACTGCCCGCTTTTGCTGTGTGACTTTGGCCAAGTTACTTCCCTTCTCTGGGCTTTCTGTCTCTGCATATCCTCTGGAGATTTGACCACTTTTTTTTTTTTTTTTTTTTTTTTTGGCTATACACGGGCCTCACTGTTGTGGCCTCTCCCTTTGCGGAGCACAGGCTCCGAACGCGCAGGCTCAGCGGCCATGGCTCACGAGCCCAGCCACTCCGCGGCATGTGGGATCTTCCCAGACCGGGGCACGAACCGGTGTCCCCTGCAACGGCAGGCGGACTCTCAACCACTGCGCCACCAGGGAAGCCCCACCATTAGTATTTACTTGGAGCATCTTTGAGAGGAAAAACATTACTGTCAAATGTCAACATTTATGTTTCCAGCTTGATGGCAGTGTCCACTTTTGACATTGACAGTAAGAAGGCAGGAATAGAGGGTTTTCCTGTATTTTCCAAATTCCCCATAATGAACCCAGGAGGCAGTGTGGCTTGGAGAGGTGGCAGTAACAGCCCAGGCTGCGGGTGAGACAGCCTGGCTCTGGAACACACCAGCTGTGTGACCCTGGGTAAGTCACTTCACTTGACTGAGTGAGAGGTTTCTGAGCAGGGAGAAAGAGACTTCAGACCAAAGCCATCACATGGCACGTCTCCAATAACAAGGCTGTGGCAAAGCCTCTGGTTAGAAATGGTGGCACATGCCCAAGAAAAGATCATGAGGGGGGGACCCAGAGCAACTTCTAGAACCAACTGGCCAAGACAAAGAGGGACAGGTAACAGCAGAGGGCTCAGTTTCTCCAATGTCTAAAATTCTAAAGATAAGCAAGATGGCATCATTCAGAAGGGGAAACTGAGGTTCACAGAAGGGGAGCCACTCAGTCAAAGTCACATGTTTGTGATCAAAAAATTTGTAGAGTCTTGGGGTTTAAAAGTCTCTGTGAAAGAAAAGACCTGGCACTGGGGAGATTACAATAGCAGCTGCTAGCTTTTCGACTTCTAGTATGTGTTACTCATTGTGCTAAGAACTTAACATGTGGGACTTCCCTGGCGGCACAGTGGTTAGGAATCTGCCTGCCAATGCAGGGGGCATGGGTTTGAGCCCTGGTTCGGGAAGATCCCACATGCCGCAGAGCAACTAAGCCCGTGAGCCACAAGTACTGAGCCCGTGTGCCACAACTACTGAAGCCCTCGTGCCTAGAGCCAGCCTGTGGTCCGCAACAAGAGAAGCCACCACAATGGGAAGCCCGTGCACCACAACAAAGAGTAGCCACCACTCGCCGCAACTAGAGAAAGCCCGCGCGCGGCAGTGAAGACCCAACGCAGCCAAGAATAAATAAATAAATAAAAATTGACATGCATTATCTACTTTAATCTTCTAACAACCCTCAGGGTTGTCCTTATGCCCATTTTACAGATGAGGCAACTGAGGCTTAGGCACCAGCTGGTGAGAAGCAGAGCCCAGGCTGGCTGACGCTCAAGGCTGTGTGCTTACACCCCGTGCTAATCCCACGATTTGAAAAACCATCAAGTCAAGCAGGTGAAGAAAAACGGTCAAGGCTTCCGAGTCCTGCGTTGAAAAAAAACACGAAATACAATGAGTACAGGAATTTTATTGTGTTGGTGGTAGGCATAGAATTGAAAAGGGAAAATGTGTGTCCTAAGTCAATTATCTTAGTTAAATAAATGAATCAGATTTGATACTGATTGTAGCAACCATGTGTGTGTGCATGCATTTAAGTGGAATATAAATGCATAAGGTTCTTATCAGAATTGGCAGACTGTAGGATCTGACAGACCCAGCCTCGGGTAAAATCATTCATGCATCTGGGTAATGAACTCCTGGACTCGTCTGCACACAGCTCTGTTATCGTTCAACCCTTTTCTTGTTGCTGACGTTTTTATTAGTGTTGCAGTTTTCTGCTTTATGCCATTACTTCAAACAAGCGTGCTTGGAGTGTGCATTCAGGAAGATGCAAACAGCTGGGGTTATTACGTGTGCTTGTGTGTGTGTAATTGTAATGTCTATGTATTTGTGGAGTAGGAAGGGAATTTTGGCCGCCTGCCACGTGCCCGACACATATAGATGCAATACAGACATCCTCTTACTTTATCCTCTCAACTGCTTTAAGAAGTTCTATGGACGCAAGACTGAGGTTCAGGGAGAGAAAGTCACTCCCCCAAAGTCACACAGCCAGTGTGGGACAGCGTTCGGATCTGGACCCAGTTCTATCTGAGCTTTTCCGTGCTGCGCCATAGAGCTCTTTAGGCGGCCGGCAAGAAATTGGCGGCAGGCAAGAAATTGGCAGCTGACACCTTCCGCTTACTTTTCAGTCTTGTATTTGTTTGCTTATAACTTCCCTTGTCCCTAGAGCGAAACCTCATGCCTTTGATGGCTACATGTGCAAAAAATAGGAAAGACTTGCTTTTTTAAAAAAAATCAACAAGTCATGGGTGAGGTATTTGAATGAATGTAATCAGCTCCATGAAGCTTCAGAGTTTATCTTTAAAATGGAACAGATTCTGTAAACGCTGGAAAACCAGGCTACCAGCTCCCAGCCCCCAAAACAATAACAATGACCATTTATTGAGTACTTGCTAGGTGCCAGTTCTGTGCTAAGCCCCTCTAGTTATCACCTCTTTTCATACTCAGATTAACCCTGGAAGAGGTGAGTTATGACCTTATCTTCGAGATGAGGAAACTGAGGCTTGGAGAGGTGAAGGCACTTACCTGTGGTCCCTGCAAGGTTGTCACTTGCGTCAGGCTCTAACGTGGACCTTCTCTGTCGACACTGGGAGGACACTCAGATCTGCTGCGCCACCACCCCTGCCCCCACTCACCTGGCGTGCCAAATTTCTGGAGAAAAGAGGCAGCTGCTACGGGTGCAGGGTTCTATCTCCTAAAGGGAGGCTCCCGAGGCTGGGGCGTCCTGTCCTCAGCTGGGGCTGGAGCTCAGGGTCAAAGTCTGAAGTTAAGGACAGGGCACAGCAAGGGGTGGGGCTGGGCACCACGCTGCTCTCAGGGGCTGGACCTGGGCCAGGCTGGGAGACCTCACCTCCCCTCGCTCTGGTCCCTGAAAAGTTGCCTGACTTTTCTGGCTGATCCTAAGTCCCCGTGGACAGACCTTTGCGGAGGGAGGGAGGATGGATGGGGGTTCTTGGAGGGCTGATGGGCACAAGGAGGTTTGTCACCCGGGCCAGCTGGAGACGATCCTCTTTCTTCCCTCTTCCTGCTGCCACCCTGGGGGAGGGGAGTCTGCCCAGTGGGGGTGGTCAGCCTGGCAGCCCCTGAGGTGAGGCCAGAGGTATAGGACAGGGGCTCCTAGGGCCAGCCAGCCAGCCTAATGCCATTCTGAGATCCTGGGTGGATGAGGCCAAGGAGAGATTCAAGGCGATGCCTGTTTGGGCTGTAAAGATGTGTCGCTCTTTGCTCCTGTATCCCAGAGACACGAATGGCTGGACGCCAGGTCCCTCCTCTGCCAGAGCTAGACCTGGA